GGGGGGGGGGGGGTCGTGATTACTTTTAAAAAGCTATTACTTATATTATTTTTTTCGAGAGGGGTTAAGTTGTAGTCTGTTCTGTTTGTTTGTAAGGAGTTTATTCAGGCTGGGTTGGTTAGGGAAGTTTTCGTTGAAGGGAGTGTGCATTATCATTGTTGTGGAGTTTGGAGTTTTGAATTGTCCACCTTTATAACCCCCATATTGTGGGTGGTTGACGAGTGCTGTGGTGTTGTTCGCTCCTTCTTTCAGGCAATCAAACATCTATCGTCAGTATCTCTCCCCAGTGAGTGGTTGGCGGGTGCCCTGGTGTGGTTTGCTTCTTTTTTCCTATCAAACTTCTATCGTCCTTATCTCCCCTCCTTCTTATTTATGTTTGTTACTCTCTTGTAACACCTCTAATCTTCTGGCGCTCACATGACCTTATGCAGTTACGAGCGCCGTAAAACCTCTACTAAAACAAAAAAATATCTCTCCCCTTTTTGTGTGTGTGTTTGTTCCTCTCTTTTTACGGGGAAGGACTTCCGTAACGAGCGACCACTCCAACGAACACACAAAAGAAGAGACCTAGATCTAACCCTAACCCTTAATTTACCCCTACCCCAAACCCTAACCCTACCCCAAACCTTAACCTAAACCCTACCCCCTACGCCCTACCCCCTACCTCTCTGTTCCACTCTGTCACATCGTGGTCGCTCGTTGCGGAAGTCCTCCCCTTGTGACACCTCTAATTTTCGGCAATGGTGTATGACCTTACTGTGTTTCAACTGCCGTAAAACGCTTACAAGATCTAGATTAATGAAAACAATAAATTAAAACAGTTGTGTTGCAAATGCCGTAAAGCTCCATAATGTGGGTTCTCAGAGCTGCAACTACTAAGATAGTGCCAAATCACAAAAGCCAGGTCATCCGTAGCTAGGTCATCTTTTGTTTTTAGTCCTCTTTCACTTTCTGTTCGCCTCATACCTCTTTACTGTGACGCGTTCGAGCAAATTGGTTAAAACAAAAACAAAATAGAGAGGAGGGAGAAAAAGAAGGGGGAAAAAAAGACGGCAGATAACAGGCATGTCGTTTGCTGGGAATTCACAAGTGCAAGCAGCAGTGGTGTGACGACTGGGTCTACTTTTCGGTCACGTTCGTGTTTCGTGACCTTAAGTCATGTGTACTTTTTAGTATATATATATGTAAAAACGAACAATGTGGGGTGGTTTGTTTTGGGGTTGTTGTTTTTTTAATTAAATTTTTTTT